TACATGAATGGAAGTGAAACTGCCATCTGGAACTGTGGACAGTTATGGCATTTCCAGGTATATCCAGTGTATAGGAAAGCAAATATGCAAGAAATCAAGTTACAAATAATATAAAAGTGAAAGGATGTATGCTTCAAGAAAGGTGCTTCAGAGATGGGGTTATCATTCTCCTGTAACTACAAGCCACTGAAATTCTCCTGTTTAACCATCAGTTTCTGGAACAGTAATGGTGCTGAAACACAGTAAGCAGAACAGATCCAGATGTATAAATATATTCACATTTGTACCAAGGGCACTGCTTTCCTTTAACTGCTGAACTGCTGTATCAACACTGTTCTATCACCAACCAATTATAGCTAACAAAGCCCACTGCACAGACTGAGTCTCGTCTATTTTTTCAAGTACAAAAGTACAGTGCTGACATTCAATGAATATTAAGTGGTGACAATTTAATTCTCTGAACACTGCATGCAATATGAATTCACATTCCTTCGACTGCTGCCATTTGAAGTGTTTGCATGCCCATCAAGCTAACTACTCTGTCAGCCACTGGAGCTTCTCCTGATGAAAATCATGGGGTCATAAACATTCCACTGGAAATGTACTGTTCAGGGTTAAAAGCTTCCTGCTCTTCTATTGCTAGAACCATATGAATTAGACCTAAAATTCTGGATACGGTCTTGCATTTGAGAAAGGAAGGCATGTGACAATGTACTGAATGCACATTATTCCATACTACCGACTGAATGGACAATCAATGCTGTTTTATTAAGTGCCCACCTGTATGCCAGGTACATTGTTCAGTCTAGGAAGATGCAGCAACAATAGGGATAGTGCCCTCAAGGACCATACTCTTAATCTATCAATTCACTACTCAACAAATGCCTACTAACATGCCTGGCAACTCCTCAGTCAGTTATGTTACTAGTATTGATTAAGCATCTTCTATGTGACTTAGTTAGCAAATTCTAAGATGGCCCATGTCCTACAATGACACGACATGAAAAGTCTAATACTCAAGGAGTTCTGAGGTGCTGTCCTATAAAGAAAAAAATATATGTATCTGGTAGAAGAATGGGGAATTCTAGTAGGCCCAGAGCAGCATATTAACATCAAGTGTCAGGGAAGAAGCATGAATACTCCTAAGTGATTCTCTCTCTCTCTCTCTCTCTCTCTCTCTCTCTCTCACACACACACACACACACACACACACACACACACACACACACACACACACACACACACACGGCCTAACATCAGCCTGAGACTTGAGACTTGAGTTGGGATTGAAATAATCACGGAATGTGGAATATCAGGAAGAAATGAAGGGATGCCTCGAGAATTTAAAAAAAAATTAGTATGGGATGGCTGGTGCAGAGATTCTGTGATGCTGAGTATCATATTGGAAAGCCTGATAGGATGGGGAGATGAATGTCAGAGGATCTCACTGTGAGCATAAGACTGTCAGACACCTGGAAACCTCAGAATACGTTCTCTACCCACTCACACAATGAAAATGTACACAAGGGGTATTAAAAAAGCTGAGTTCAGGAAAACTAGTTGGTGAGAAAACTGGAGGCAAGTTTGGCTCAGAATTGACTGTAAAAATAAAATCCAGGAATATGATGATAAAGTGAAACTTTGTCAAAAAGAAAACAGAAAAGAAAGAACATGAAGAAAAGACGGTAGAAAATTGATTATGATATCATAAACAAAAACCGTAATCATAATCGGGTAAATACATATTGCAAAGGAGGACTGGAAATGTAGTCAAAAAAGGCACAACAATATCCTACACTATTAATTCTCCCCCAGTTATGTCTTGTACATATTTTGCACTGATGAGGACACTAACATAGAAAAATTTTTGGCTGAACACACTAACAAACAAAATGCTGAAGAGGAACAGCAGCAGTTTTCACACGGAAGCCAGGCTCTGTGCAATGCTTTTACATGGATCATTTTCATTTAATCTTTACACACAGAGGCCCCAGTTTTTTCTCATCTTTTGTGAGTCAACTGAGACTCAGATTTTTAAGTAATATGGCAAAGACACAGAGCTAGGGGGTACCTTTCATCAGCTTAGCATCTGCTCTTCTCTTCAGTTTAACCTCATACTTTGTCCTCTTCCACCACGCAAAACACACCTAAGAGCAGATCTGGTCTAACGTGGCACACAGTTTTAAAATCAATGACACTTAGCAAATTGACAAACAAAAGATGGATCGTTTTCAAACTCTGCACACTATCCTCCAGTTCAGCCCAGTAGAAAGAACACTGAGGGCCATCATGAGCACTTACTATTTGTTTTAATGTTGTGTGTGGGTTCTAAAAATGTTGGCTCCAGCAGATTATAATATGAGCCTTTTTTTAACTATTAAAAAAAAAAGTGAAATGAGAGGCAGTTCTTTCTCTACCTTCTTCATGAAAACCAAGCTTTCCAAAGCTTAATTTTTCCCATGTAGTTGTTAATGGACTACATTGTTTAGTTAATTGTGCTTATCAGAAGAATCAGTAACTTCATATTTGCATGACTAAGTGGTTTTTAAAGTGCTTGTATTTAAGTTGGGTTTTCAAGGTCTGTGTTCTCTTTCGAACTTTCTGTTGAGTTGATAGACTTATTTTCCAAGATTCAGTAAAATCTACAGCAAAAAGGAGTTGGAAATAGTACATTTCAAGATAAATGCTGGTTCATAAGAGTGCTTAGCATGATGGTATTCATTGATTTATCAAAACCAATGCAATAAAATAATTTTTGGACTTAACACTTGTTTTTCTTGAGATTGCTTCATGTTAATAAAAATCTATCCTGCCCAAACTCTTTATCCCCTGTCAGAAAAGTTGCTCCATCAATCAGTCATAAAAATTCCCTAGATTACACACATCTGAAAAGCCATAAAAGTTCTTCCCTCTTAAAATAAACACTACCTGGATAGAATCATTTCATGATTTGTTCTCCCATGACCTCTCAGGGTCTGCATTCAAGTTGTAACATGATAAGCTTTGTGTCCATGATCACCAAATTAATAAGTGGTTAAGAAAAATACCAAATCTATGCCTGACTAAAATTCCAGAAGTCAATTTATTTAAGCGAATTACAAAAGGAAATGTATAATGTTGTGTTAAGTTTCTCATGAACATCAGCCCAACTCTGCCCATGTTTCTATTGAGTAACATTGCTAAGGTCTTCTAAGAGATAAGATAGTTCATTCTCTTCCTTAAACTTCTGAATAACCCATATTATTCATTTAGTCTATGAGTCAGCAAATCATAGACAAGACCTGACCCTATGTTTGCTTGTGTAACATGCTGAACATAACTACTCTCACTTGTTTCAATATTTTTATGGCTATTTTCAAATAAACCAGCAGAGTTTCACAGTTGTACCAAACATCATCTACACTGCAAGGGCTAAAACAATTATGACTTGGACATTTGAAATGTAGTTTGTAAGACGGATGGGGGAGTGAAAACTGGAAAAGTGGTAAACTCAGGCGCTTACAAGCCATTTTCATAGGGAAACGGATGTGGGTAGGACTATAGGCAATACAAAATAGTAAATAATTCTAGGAAAGATGAATGGGCTTAGAAGAATGGATGAGAGACATAGTAGTTTGCTACAAAATTTTTCTGGGAATGTTGTCAACTTCTAGACTTGGCCCTGGTAAGAAGACTCTGTCTTCTCTGATTGACAAAAGTCCCAGGGAGTAAACTGATGACAGCTGACTTCCTCACGTTCCTCATGGAGGAATGATCTTTATGCAGATAGGTGAGAGTCAGAGGAAACTCTCACAGCATTTGCTGTTTTCTAAGTGGCTCAGCTCAAAATAATCAATATGCCAAAGTGGCATATTTTGGAGTGGTCTATCCAAACTCCTTCTAAGAAAAAACTTTGTCCAGTCCTGACTCAGTCATTCAACAAACATTAGTTTAGAAATAACTATATGTTAGCTCTATTCATAAGGTCTCTACTTACTAACACTATTTGGCAGGGCACATATCTTATGGGCCCAGGATAGTACAAAATCAGTATCTTTACTTCTTTCAAAGTCTCTGTGCATGTGTATGTGTGCTTTCTTATACTCTCCTCCAAGATTAGCTTAAGCACACACATTTGCTGGGGAGTTTGGGTTTGTACCCTGGTCTGTTTGAAACACAAGTGTATATTCTCTGCTATGCAATGATTTTCTTAAGACCAGGCAGCACACATCCTTTTGATGGAAAGCTGGAGCTTCTGGGAATGACCCAATCCCTGAAAGAAAGTGATAACAATTTACAAATGTGTCACTTGTAAACTAAAAGCTATCCAAATGAACCTTTTGTGCAGATATGAACGAATTCTGTTCAGTGGCAGTTCAATGGACTCCTGTTCGATTTTACCCACTTGTAAATTCACCTTAGCACTCCTTTGTCTCATATGCACGTGTGGTTTTCCTATAAACCTATAGCAACTTCTTCAATTCCTTCTTTCATTATGTAGATATATAAACATTTGACAGGTGTTCATTTTGAATCTGTATGAAAATTAACATTTTTTAAAATACCATTTTTATAGAAGTTATTAAGATGTCAATTCTGATTTCTTGAGCCTCAGATTTTCACTTGGGACAACACACATACCAAAATATAATCAAGAGCCTATAATTATGTTGTCATAAATTATATCACTATGTATATATATTGAAAAAGGACAAAATGATTAGGGTATCATCACTTTTAGGTCACTTAAAAGACTAATAAGACGTGCCTTGGACCATTGTCCTGCAATTTTCCAGGGTAGGAAACCAAGGACAAATTATTAAATCTCTCTAAGCTTTAGTTATCTCATCCAATTATAGTACTTGTGCTCCATAAAGTGATATGTATGAAGTTACTATTGTATTATCCACTGCACCCCCACAAGGTTCATGTGTTAGAAACTTAATCCTTAATACAACAAAGTTGAAGGCTGGGGCATTTAAGAGTTGTGATGTCTCTACTCTCATTAATGAATCAATGTCATGCTCACTTTGGCAGCACATATACTAAAATTGGAATGATACAGAGAAGATTAACAAGGCCCTTGTGCAAGGATGACAAGCATATTCATGAAGCGTTCCATATTTTTGACGTTAAGTGTAACCTATCAAGAGTGTAACAGGTAACTTACAGACAGCAGACTCGAATCTGCATTAGACATTAGCAATAATTATAAAGACATACAGTGGGATCCAAGAGCGATCCTGACATCCTTTTAACAGGAGGTCATATGCACAGAGCTGGGAACCCCAGAGTGGAGCAGGGCGACAGGAGGAGGCTTGTATCCCAACCCTGGGCACTCCTGGATCCTCACCAAGGACTATCAGTATGGGCACCAAGGACTACATCACAACTGCCAAGGAGACTGCTAGGAATTGGAGTGTCCACGTAGGCCGAGAACTCTGAGGACATCCATTCCTTGTTGGACCTCCCACATGGGATGGAAGAAGCCCAGATCCTTCCTCACAGGATCTAACGTAATTGGAACAACAGCCAGGAGCCCTGAACAGTCTTCAGAAACAGAAGAACAGTAAACTTCCTTCAGAACTCAGAAGAGGAGCTTTCTCTGGTCCTTACTTCCAACTTTGGCTCTCTACCCTCTCTTGCAATGACCATCAGTGTTGCTCTGGAACTCTCCAAAAAATACATCATATAGACAGGGACCAATAAGGAAAGCTTAGAACAAACAGGAATCAGTCAGCTTGGACTCACATATACCTTACTAGGTAGGACACAAAGATTAGTTACTCCTCACTAAGGTATTGAAGATTTTTCTGCACACCCCTCCTAAAACTGTTCTGTGCCTCAGTTGTTAACATATGCCTTGTTAGAGTTATAAACCTGTTTGGACTATGCTAAAATTCTCCAAGTTCAGTAAAAATCATGCTTGAATACTATAAGCTGCTAAATGTGAAAATGAAAATATACACAAGACAGCTGAATAGTACCCTACAACCATTTTAAGGTGTATAGCAGCTGGTTGTGTATAAACTAAAATTGAAATGTCAATAAAGTAGTCACAGGATGTGGTTAAGAACTTACATTTTCTAACATACTGGTAACTCAATACCATGTCAATTAACTTCATGGTGTTGTAATTTGTTGTTGAAGTTGTGTAGTGGCTTTTCATTGGAGGGGATGATATTCTGCCAGTTCTACTTTCAGACCAGGGATGGTATACCAATGAAACTGTTCAATTTATCTGGACAATAAGATGCTGGACTCTCTGCATGGTCCACTCATGACTGGATGTGAACTGTACTACTATAACAATATGGAGGAATCCAATAGTGGGGGGGGCGCTTTTTGGAGGGATTGGGGGAATCCCAGAGCCTATGAAACTGTGTCATAAGATGAAAAAAAAATGGATCAATGTCAACACCACAATACTGGTTTTCTTAGCACCAGAGTGTTTGTTATTAAAAAGAAAATCAACCACTTCTCTCTTACCCTGTTAGCTTCCAGCACAGAATGACACAACAAGATGGGCCTCACCTGATGTCTGCTCCTTGACACCGGGATTCCTTGCCTCGGAAGAATGATAATTTATTTTTCATTGTAAATTACTTCATCTGTAGTCAGTTATAGCAGTGCAAAATAAGCTAAAATTTGTTTTGAAAAGGCCCTACTGCATATCAAGTGCTCAAGTCTCAGTCACCATTATTAAGTTTGATTTGTAAGAAATCCTGATGGATTTAGTACTATTTGGGATAGAGAAGTCTCCACAAAAGGGGTGTCTTTACTTGGGTCTAGGAAGTGTAACAGTTCACCAGAGAACCATCATAATGGCATTCGACAGAAAAGGAAAGAGAAGTGAGATAGGAAAATGTCAAAGAAGGCAAGTCAAAGTGCCACATTTACAGGATGGTAAACAGAACAAACACATTCCTTTTCTTTTTTTTTAAGACTTATTTATTTTTTACTGCAAAGGCAGATTTACAGAGAGAAGGAGAGAATGACCTTTCATCAGTGGTTCACTCCCAAAGTGGCCACAACAGAAGCCAGGAGACAAGAACTTCTGGGTCTCTCACGTGAGTATGTGGAGAACAACACATTGTCACGTGTTCTAAATTTTCTTAACTTGGTTAAAGTTTTTACTTCTTCTCTCTGTGAACTTGTGTTAAGGGTACACTACAACCAAGTAGGAATGCATCCAGGCACTAATTTTTACTTTGGACATAAGATCATCCTAAACACAGTTATAGCTACTCAAGTGGCTCAGTAATCCTTCAAGGCCGAGTAGATAGTTTATTCAAAACTTTATAACTAACAAAACTGTGTTAGATGAGAATGAGCCCAAGGTACAGATCACGTCTTACACAGATCAAACTCGACACAACTCACTTTGAGAGTAAGTGCAAGTCAGTGTGTACCCATCCACACAAGACTCCATCACCCTACCCATACTTGAAAGTCATACACTAAATCCAGTATAACCAGGTTCGTCCACTTTCTTTCTGTCCCTGGTCATATGTCGTTTCTACATTACTGGTCTCCAATTACAATTTCATAGTTTCTATTTCAAATTAGCCAATTTCCTGGAAATTTTAATTTTTTGTTAACATGTAACACTTGTATACTTTTATAGGGTACAGTGAAAAAGAAGGAACAATATGTCATCCTCACACAGGGGTCTTGCTGATCTCTGTGTGGTTTCAATGTTAGCACCTGTGTTGTTAGAGTGAACAGTAGTGCTGGGTACTTTGGAAAGGGGATAAACTTCAAGCACAGCTGTGTGTCAACATTTACTAAAAGTTTACTAAAAAGACTTCCTCCACCATATTTGCATAATTCTGTCTGTTTCTTTTCACTCCTGCCTGCACTCACATGAATGTTACACTCTAGGCATGCACTTTGCAAAATGGCATATTGTGGAGGCTTACAGAGGTCTTTGGAACGTAAGCTATCTCTCTCCTGGAGCAATGATGGTTAAGAGGGAAAAGAGGTTAGTCAACTTTGGCTTTTTGGCAGCCACATAACTTAAAAAACAAAACAAACCCTTACAGGTACTTCCTGTGTCTTACTATCAGATGTCATTCCAGCTCCGACCCTTATGGCTGTTTCAAGTTTTCCTCCTCCCAAAGAGGTGAACACTTGGTCTCTGCTATCCATAAATGCTGCAGTGAGTGTACTTAGCTAAAGGGCACGGCAATAATTTTTCTCTTCCATGTCGAGAAAGTTACCCTTGGAAAATCTCTGGCTCATTGCCTGTTTTTAAATCATCTTTTGAGGAGAGGTGGCCAGGAGCGCATGTGAAGTTCAAATTAGCCCCCTTTTCACTAGCTCTTTAAAATAACAATAGTAAGACTAAGAATAAGAAAGTTAGCTTCAACCAACCAAGACTTCAGATTTACCCAATAGACAGTGCTGAAGACTCATCATATAATATGCAATGCCCCAGAAGTCCACTGTAGAAAAGCAGATTAAATTTGATTAGCACTGGACCTAATACTCTTCTGTGGGCACTAGGTGATTGCTGTCAGAATCTGGAGTGAATGGTGATGTTAGAAGCAGTGACTGCAAAGATTAATAAAGCGAGTCACCAAACAGCCTTTGCTGCCAAAGCCTTATTCTGCCCCGTCACCCCGCCACCTTTGGTAGGGAAACACGTTGAGAATCTTGAATCCATCAGTAAGTGCAACAGGACTCGAATACAATTTCTCTTCATTTGTCCTGACTGTTAGATGTTGGTACAGGACCTAGGGCTGGTCAGCTATCCCAATACAGTTCTGTAGACAGGATGTGAGAGTAGCCAGGAATTTTGATGTGATGTGAGTTTGCCAAAGCAAAACTTCACTGAACACTAGTGGTGATTTAAGGTGTAGATAATTTTTAGAATCACAAGTTCACACACACATACACATACACATGGCTACCCTGATGCTTCCACAGCTTTCAGGGTTGAGAAAACGGGCTCTTTCTATCCTTTTCTCACCCCCATGAGAAGGGGGTAAACCCCAGACAGATTTATTAACCAAAAGGCACAGTCTGGGAAAAGATGCGATTAGATTCTCCATCAGTCCAAGTCAGGGTTGGCCCTTTGTTGATGAGAGACCACAAATCAGAAAAATCCGTGAATAGTGTTACTAGCTCTCCTTGTGAAAGCTTTTCTTTACTTGTCACTGAATGGCACCCACTCAACTAATTCTATGCAAACTGGATTTCTGGGCAGGGGCATCCAGTTGCCTCTGTGTCCTTCCAAATTGATCAGGTACACGGACAGAGGCCTTCACACTTGTTTAAAAGCTGTTGCATATGTATTTCATCCCATATTCAATTTACAGGTAAAATGGGCACTCTTATTATTCCCCTTGGAGCCTATCATCATGGTTAACAGTAGCAACACAGCCATACACAGACTCCAGGCTCCCCAACTCTCAGGAATGACAATAATCACCACCATCAGCGAATGCTAAGGCCATGACTTGGGCTCTGTGCCAAGTACCTTATGAACATAACTGCAAATACTTCTTGCAAGAATCCTAATAAACTTGATACTATTAATCCCATTTTGCAGATGGGAAATACTAGGCTAATGAGGTTAAATGATTTCCCCAGAGTCAAAAATGCAGTAAATGGTGAAACCCTACTTAAAGGCAGTCTCTTTGACCTGTGGATTTATTCGCTACTATACTGCCCGAAAGTCCAATGCGTTTCTATACTTAACACTAACCTGACAAAACAAAAGTTTTTACATATTTCAAACAAGTCACTTTTAAATATTTCAGAAACTTTTGAAATCCTAGTTTGAGCCACATAGTTTTAATATGGTTGAAAAGAAAATGCTCTAAAAATTCTAAGTGCTATCTTTTATCAGGTGTTTTTACTGTTCCAAATATCATTGGCTTCTGTTTCTTATTTCATTTAAAAGAAAAACAGATGGTTAATATAAATTCCAGCAGGAACTTTACTAGACTCCCCAGAAAACTTTATGAGCATAGCAAGTTCTGGAGACCAACAACATAGATTTAGATCCCAAATACCCAAAATGACAACTTCTGGAATATGGGCAAGTTAGTAAATCTTGTGCTTTAGTTTTCCCAACTTATATACAGTTTTCTCATGTTTACATAAAGAATCCGTCATAAG